GTGCTTTTGTGGGTCGGTTCACATGTCGCATATATAGGCTTTTCTCATAAAAATTAATTTTTTTTTTTAAATTCATGGGTTGTGCCGTGTCAGCCCACATGCAAAATCCTAAGCCCACAACATGGCCCACGGGCCATGGCACGAAACAAAATTTTCATGCCGTCCTAGAAAAATTGTGGGTTGTGCCAGCATGGCTCATTATCACCTCTAACCTAGCATTACTCTATGACTATATAGAGGTTTTTTGTTCCACCATTATAACTATATAGATGTTTTTGGTTACACTATTATGACTACATAGAAGTTTTACTATATAATGTATTATAATTTATAAGTTTGGTAATATTATGTAAATAAAATCAGAATATCAATTTTAATATATTATCCATCGTGGTTATGAATATATTAGCGTCACCTTAATTATTAAAAAAAAAAAAAAAAGTAATATCAATTAATACAATGATTTCATACTAGCACAATCACATTAATTGTTTCAAACCTTAATTTTAACAAACAGTGGGCTAATTTTTTAAGTGTAATTTTATTTGGAGTTTTATAACTACCAAAAATCTATTGTATTATGTTTATTAATGAGTAATATTTATTCTGCCAAAATTTAGATTCTCATAATCTGATTGAATTAATGAGATTAGATTCGTACATAAATTATTTATACTAATAAATATAATACTAAATATAGAAATTTTACAGGTCAATATGTAAAAGGTCTGTGCCTCATATTAAATATTCAACATTGAATGTGATGTGATCTTGGCTTGAAATGGTCCATTCTTAATTTATTATCGGGAGAACGAAAATTTCCCACCCAAGGTTCGGCGAAACACCCTTTCCCACCAATTAAGTTTTAAAATGACACTTTTCACCCTAATGAATTCTATTAATATTTAACTAAAAAGATAAAAATATTTTTAAATAGTTTATTGTAAATTAAAATTTAGTTAAGTTAAAATCCTTACTTATTTGATTATTTATTAGTTTAAATATAAAAATGCATTTTTCTCTTTATTTATTTAATTAATTAGAAATATTAATTTTCTATGTTAATTAATAAAAATAAAAAATATTATAAATTTAGTAGATTATTGAATAATAGTGATAGAATATTGATGATATTATAAATAAATAAATAAAGAAATATTTATGTCATTTAATTTTAAATAATTTTATAACATTATTTTTAAATTTTTAGGTAGGTTAACTATTTTTTCTTTTTTGACTTTTTAATATTTAACTTTTTGGCTAATTAAAAAATAATAAAAAATCTATAAAATCAAATATTTAAGGGCATTCTCGCCTTTTCAATAAAATATTAACGAAAAACATAATAGAACCTAACGAAAGATGGGAAACTATCATTTTGAAATTTGAAGATTGGGAAAGTGTTGTTTTGCCAAACCTTGGTGGGAAGATGTCGTTCGCCTTTTATTTTCAGAAGTCGTCCCAATCCCGCACCACAGAGAAATTAATAATAATTAATACACAAATCTAACCAATTAAATGCAAGTTATTAACCTCTCAAATTTAAGTGATCAGAGATCTACACAAACATAAAGAGAGGAGCTACAAAGAGAAGAGCCTAACATCCAGAATCCCAAAGGGTTTTTTAAGGCTCATCTCCCTCCTCCCAGTCTTCTACCTCTTCATCACTCTCCCTTCAAGCCTCTCCTCCCTCAATCTCACCGGTTGCACCTCTTTCTATCTCACACGGCTTGCCAACTTCAACCTCCTCCTCTTTGCCGTTGGTCAAGGCCCCTTATGTCAACCTAATAAACTCTTCCATTTTATCTTGGTGGCTTCTCTTCCCATCAAAATAAAACCAAACCCATCTCCCCAAATCTGCAGTCCAATCCAAAAATCACATCAAGTTTCTAAATATATCAAACTAGTCATCAAAATTGTACTTGTAGTTATGTTACTTCTAGTCCATGGCTATCGTCAATATATACATCACAAAGCACTCTTAATCCTTCATTTTTACCCAGTGTATCTTTCACTCGAAATTATCCTAGCCATGCGTGCTACCCTAGCTTGTATTTTTGGCTTTGAGCTCGAGCCACAATTCAACAAGTGCCATCTAGCCACCTTACTAAAAAACTTTTGGGGCCGCAGATAGAACCTTATGGTCACAGATATTCTATGCCTTAACGTATATAATCTAGTACAATGTATACTCGGTCGTATAATCAGAGAAAAGTGAATTCAATATCCAAGTGTCATTATCACATTTGTTGTCTCAAGTTTTATGCATAAGGAGATTTTTTATCATCTTTTACGTGTGCTTCCTACGTCGGAAGTGACATGGTTTTTTGTCCTACAAAGGATAAGTGTAGCTATTGAGATTTTCATTAAGAAGAACTTAGCCATTCAATGACAGTTGTCCCCAATGGTTTCAAGGCCGGTGGTGGTGTTCTTGGTGATGACTGTTATTTGGTTGTTTTTCCCTCCTTTGTAAGAAATAATATTTTTTTATAAAAGTTTGGAAGAGTACTTAATTATTATAAATTATATAAAAAGATGTTAAGAATGTAATAACTAAGTTAGAATAAGGTTTAATTTTGTGCCCAAGATAGAAATTATTGTACCATAAGGCCTATTGTGCACATAAGAGCTATCAATATTTAGTGCATGTACTTTCTTCCTTTATGACTTTATATCATCATGTGGTAAATCTGACTTTACTAGGGGTAAGTGATCTTATATTACTTGATTATCATGTTTGGTTGTCAAGTAATATAAGATACCGACAATCTTTAAATACCAATAGTGGTTATTATTGGTAATATTGGAGGTAATTTGATTACCTCCATTTTCTTAGGTATTATAAGATTACCAGGGTTATCTCTTTTTGTTACAATTTTATCCCTTATTAATAAAAATTTTAGACAATAATGCCCCTATTTTAAAAGAAATTTACAGTAATATCTTATTTCAATTTTACCCTTGTTTAATTAAAATTTTGGACAATAATGACTTTATATTTAAAACAATTTACAGACCACCATTGTCACCCGGCCACCACCATCGACAGTGGGCCAACCACCACGGACCGCCGTCGAAAAGTCACCAAAGTCCCTCACCAAAGTCCCTAAAAAAGAACGAGATTCCGTAGGAGGCTCTGAGAGGCTTCGGTGTGGCCGTTAACAGCTAGACGGTTAGATCCGACCTGATATGGCCATTTTTGGCCATCGATATGGCCAGAAACGGCCATATCAAAGCCTCTTGGTCACAGTGAGCTACTCACAGGGACTTTCGGAGACTTCCGACGGTGGTTTGCGGTGGCGGCAGGAGGTGAAGGTGGAGGTGATTTCATCATAAATTAAAGTTTTATATAAGCAGGGGTGTTTTAGCTAAATCTGAAATATTAGAGGTTAAAAGAATTATTCAAAAATTAATAATAAAAATAATATTATATTAATATTTAAAAAAAGATAATTTAGTAATTTAAATAAGATACCAACCAATTTATTTTCCATAACATAACATATCCACCAACTAACCAAACATATTTTTCTAAAAATTCTTAGTAATCTTTCAAGGTAATCTAGCTTTTCAATAATCCAATATTCCTAATAATCTAATATTTCTGAACCAAACGCTCTTCTATGCGTAATGTTTGATTTTAAAAGGTAAATATAACGTTATTATTTATGAGGCTCAAAGAATTGTGCATTTTCTTGCCTCAGCATAAAATGCGACTACCGAGGCAAAGGTGTCAAGGGTAATCTTTTAAGAAAAGTGTAAATCTCACCTGCATTGGATTATGTAAAATATGGGGTTCTAAATAAAATTTACAATTTCAAAGATTTTTGGTATTTACTATTACTTAATTTGTTATTTTGCTAGTAAAAGCTATAAACTGAGAATTAAACTTAACCGAATAGTTAATTAGGATTTTTGGGTGTATTATTCAAGAGATTTTGAATTCAATTCACCTTGACCCTTAATAGAGGTGACTATTAGCATTCTCACTTGACTGATAGTTCTAGAGTCCCAGGACTGGATACCCCAGGTCATTAAAAAGAAAAAAAAAAAACTGAAAATTCAGATAAGTTACTAATTTCTAGAGAGAAACTTTTAAGCTTACAACGCAACTTATTTTACCTTGAATAGTCAAGTAAATCTGCCTTTCACATTTTAACAAATCAGTCAAGACTTTTGCATTTATCATTCACACTGCTGCTTCATGGAACTTAATTTCCGCAGGACAGAAGCTTCAACGAAGCTTATGAGTAAACGCCCTTTCCTTTCTAAAAACATTATCACCACCATTTCCAAATTAAAATTTATATGTCAACTTGGTAGTATTCAATTAAATAATCTCACTAACAACAACTTGGGAGAGAATTTTCTGTAAAATAAAATTGGTTAAATTGAATTTAAAATAATTTCTCAGCTGGTTTTCCAGCTCAGAATCAGATTATTTCAAACCTATCCCATATGTACTTCAAAATTTAACGGGTTATGAATGAAATTTCGCAGGAGTTGTGTGAAAGTACTATTAATTGTTGACTTGGAATTGTATGATTGAGAAAGTCAATTGAAGATGGAAATTTCTAGAAAGTTGGATGAATGAATCTTTCTTGCAACATCAAGGAAATTTAGATGCAGCGTCTAACTGTGGATGATACTTTTCTTGAATGCTCAAAAAATGGAAAAAATAAAAATCTCAGGATTCTTAACTTGTTCATTCGACCAAATCAAAATAATGAAAGCGATTCTCATCCAGATACTAATACTTGCTTTACCTTATTTTTAAAAAAATAAATTAATCTAATTAATATTATTTTAAAAAAGGCGCTGAATTAGGGACCGGAGAATTATCGGAAATTTCCAATTGACACCCCTGAAAAGTGAAAAGTCCAGAGTTTGAAGGGTAAAATGGTAAATTAAACAAGCTTAATACGGACCAATGACTGAATTAATAATTAAATAAGAAATGGAATAATAATTGGTAGTTTGGTACTCTTTTTATTTATCGTTTCGTCTTTATAAATTCATCAAGTCAATCATACTCTCGCACAACACGGTCGCTCCAATTCTCTTCTAGACCCTTCGTTTCAGTTCTCCTTCTCTGTAAACTACAACTCTGCAATGGCTACCGATCTCGAAAAGAAAGCTAAAGAGGCCTTCATCGACGACCACTTTCAGCTTGCAGTGGATCTGTACTCCCAAGCCATCGATATTAACCCTAATAACGCTGAGTTATATGCTGACCGCGCTCAAGCCAACATCAAACTCCTAAATTTTACTGGTATCTTTCCACCTTCTTTGAATTGTTTTAAAGTTTTTATTATCCAGTGTCCAATTTTGAAAATTAATAAACTTATTTTGTTAACTGTTATTTTGCGTGCAGAGGCTGTGTCGGATGCAAACAAAGCAATTAAGTTGGACTCTTCAATGCCCAAAGCCTACTTGCGTAAAGCGTGAGTCACGTATACTTCAATTAGATTTTTGATTGATGCTTTTTTGTTTTTGTTTTTTTGTATTTTAATCATTTGTTGAGATGTTCCTTTTTAATTATTACTGCCAATTATAAGATTATGGTATTCATATTATCGCATTAGTGGATGAATCTCTTCATTGTTATTTAATCAACGATTTGGTAAATATCTTCTGTACTTATGAGCTTGTGAGAGATTGGACCGCCCTTCGAGTTGTAGAGGCAATCAATTAGCAACTCTGTCAGTTTTGTTGAGAATTGGAGTTTTGACAAGGATAATTTTGAAATATATAAGCTGAATGATTTGGTTCTATTAGTGTCCAAATTTGGGTAAGAATGATGTTTTCAGGGCTGATTATGGGTTAGCAGTTTTAAGGACCTTTAGTTTCAGTTACCATTGCCCATTTTATTTTGAAAAGAAAAATAAACTAGTTTGTTTGTCCATTACGTGGATGTCATGTTTTGTATCATTTGACTCTCATTGGTTGTTTATTGATGTGATTGGAGGGTAAATTGTGTGCTTTGTATGGTGTTTTTTGTTGATGGAATCTTGCCAATTGATTTTCCTTATTCTTCCGTTTTCATGTGCAGCACTGCTTGCATGAAGCTTGAGGAATATCAGACTGCGAAGGCAGCCTTGGAAACAGGTGCCACACTGTCACCGGGAGAATCAAGATTCACCAACCTAATAGAAGAGTGCAATGAGCGCATAGCTGGTTTGTAGTTTTCTTCTGCTTTTTTTATTTTTCTGTTTCTTTCATTGTGCAAGTAATGAAGGCTTATTGACCTATATCAACCTGAGATGCTGTAGAACCCTTTTGGTACCAAGAAATTTTAGGGAGAGAGAAGAAATACCCAAAGAGTAATTTCAGATTAATGAAAATATCTAGTGACCTTCTAATCTTAGTTAAAGACCTTGCGTTTCTTTTCAGAGGAATGTGGTGATTTGCAAAAGGATTTATCAGAAAAGCCTCCAACAGATGTATCTACAAGAGATGCTCAGCCAGAATTGAACTTTCCCAACCAGGGGACAGTGATACCAGTAGCCAAACCAAAATTCAGGTTTGTGCTAAAATTTGTTCTTGTTTAGACTTTTCTGAATTTAATAAGTCCTGTACATGGAGAAGTCAATATCATCTGCTCTTCGTAGTTTTCACATTCTTGTAGATTGCATTTACATTTTGGGATTTGAGTGTGAATGAGTTATGATATTTTCTTTTAATTCCTTTGCAATGCCATTGTTAGATTTGCAAAAGGAAGAGAAGGAAAGGAAAACAGATTGAGAATGAAGGTGATTTATCTCTCTAGGATAGGGGACAACCTTGATACATTAATCAACAGATATTCACAACCTTCATATATTGGCCCGAACTTGTTATAATCTATCACTCTCCTTAAGTTAGAGTAAGATATCAAACATGCCAAGCTTGCAAAAATTAAGCAATTGTCCTTTACTCACAGCCTTGTTAAGCATGCCTTCTAACTGTATTATTAGAACATAAGTTTTAAAGCTTGCTTTTTAATACCGTTTCACAACAAAAAGACAATTCAATATTTGGTTCCATGACAAAACAATTTTAAGGGCTTGTAGTAGGTGAACCTCATCTTTTGTATGATAGACTTTATCCTGAACATCTCACAAGCTATGTTACCTATGATTTTGTGTTGTAATACTATGGTAAATTTATTTAATTAATGAAGGAAAGGGAACGTGACTGATATATGGACCACAATTCTACTAATTTCAGCTTTTAACTGAACAACACTAAAATTTGTGATTGATAGGTAGGAAAAAGGATTAAGACTTGACTTTTAACCATATATTACCATTGTGTTCTTCTCACAATTTCATATATGCTCAAATAAAAGCTTATTTCAAAAGATGATCCAATTCTGATGGTTATTTTTTGCTTTAAAACAGGGAGAATACAAACATATTTGCAAATTAACCATTTCATATCCATAGGGGATTTTTTATATTATTGTATTACTTCTAAAACTTCACATCAGATAATAATAGTTGATGAGAGTTACTTCAGAAGGGAAAAAAAAGAAGAAAAAAAGAAACTGGATCTGGCAAGTATGATTTGGAGATCAGATTATATATGGATAGAATTTATAGCAGGATCTCATAGTCATAGATTTATATTATCATATAATAACTGTATTGGGATAATTGGTTAACCTATTAATTGACATCTGTGCAGGCATGAACATTACCAGAAGCCTGAGGAAGTGGTCGTGACCATATTTGCAAAGGGGATACCAGCTAAAAGTGTTTCTGTTGACTTCGGTGAACAGATAGTATGATGCACATCAATTCTTTATTCACTGTGTTGTGGTTCATTTTCTTTAATGTTTTGGGTTAAAGATAGATAAACCAGGCAAAGGCTAATTTTTTTTTTTTTTTTTTTTTTTGCTTTATAGCTAAGTGTTAGCATTGATGTTCCCGGTGAAGAGGCATATCATTTTCAACCTCGCTTATTTGGAAAGGTATTGCAGTAGTTATTGATTTCAGTAAGTAATCAGAAGTATATCAACATTTAGAATTTCTTACTTGATGACGGAGGGAAAATCATAGAATTCATGAATTTCATTAGATTTTGATAATGGTGTGGGATTAAGAATTAGGAAATCTTTTTAAACAGAAAATTTTATTTATTTGCGTGGCGAATAAAGTCTTGATTTATGTTCTTGCCTTAGCTGGCAGTGGATTTGTTTAGTCTTTTTTGGAACCATTTGCTCAATAATTTTTACTTGTCTTTGATCCTTATTGTACTTTTTGGTCTTTTGCAAACAGATAATACCCACGAAGTGCAGATATGATGTGTTGTCTACCAAAGTTGAAATCCGTCTCGCAAAAGCTGAACCAATACATTGGACAGCTCTTGAATTCACCAAGGAAAATCCAGTTTTGCAAAGGGTTAATGTATCATCTGGTAGGTTGATGTTCTTGTAATATAACAATTTCTTCAGATCTCACTTTGATGTCAAGGTTATCTTGTGTTTGGGTCACATTTTTTGTCACTCACTTCACTTACATGAAGACATTATCATGCACCTGTGCGCATATAATTTAAAATCTTAAAGTAAGACGCTGGATCAACTTATAAGTTACTTGATAGAGTTCATGATGTAAATCCATGTGGAGAACTACAATAATGTTTTAAATCTCTAATTTGTGGTCAGGGAAGCTAGAATGAATTTTTTTCTGTTGCAGCAGTACTGTAAAATCCTTGTCATTGAAGATGTTGAAACTCATATACCTGCCTTTTGTTTTTGTTTGTCAAAATGCATATATTTTTAACAAATAGGGTTCAGAATTTTCTTGTCTGGTAGCCATATGTCTGCTCTGCTACTAGACGGCATAATTAATACTTTGATTGGTTCAGTTTGAAATTTTGATGGGCTTGTTAATGTTTGGTAGTCAGATGACATTAATGATAAAATGGCTTAGGTCTCTTTAGTAATTAGTGAGAAAATAATACAGGGGAGCCCATTATTATTCTTGAAAATAGAAGGAACTGTTTGTGATGTTTGACAAACTGCTTAGTTTCAGGGTTTATGAGGTGGGAACCCGGTGGGTAGACTAGGATACTTGGTAGCTAATGAAAAGCTTGTGCCTGAACTTTTTTGTGGTTGCTTCAGTACCAATGTCGTGATTGGCTTGCCGACTTTAACATTCTTCTTATATCCCTTTCAACAAGTATAATACTTGCGACTGATTTTGCAGTTACTGGATCTCAACGACCAACTTACCCATCCTCAAAACCTACAAAAGATTGGGATAAGCTTGAAGCTCAAGTGAAGAAAGAGGTGTGCCTAAAATTTAGGTTTTTTTTTTGGTTTCTATGTTTATGAGAACTTCTCTTCAGAAATACATCTCTGTAAAAGGCATGATTCTTTGTCACCTGTCTTCCAGGAAAAGGATGAGAAGCTAGATGGTGATGCAGCTTTGAACAAGTTTTTCCAAGACATTTATGCCGATGCTGATGAGGACACAAGAAGAGCCATGAAAAAATCTTTTGTAAGAAAATTTGGCCCCATCTATGTGTTAATTCTAACCTGTAATATGTGTCAAATCTTAATGTTGTTGATCCTGTTTTACAGGTGGAGTCAAATGGGACAGTGCTCTCTACAAACTGGAAAGAAGTTGGTTCCAAGAAGGTAGAAGGAAGTCCTCCAGATGGTATGGAAATGAAGAAATGGGAGTACTAAACTCTCCAACTGATTATAATTGTAATTTAGAGTTTTGATTTTTGGTCTGTGAAACTTGTCAGAACTTCTTGAGAGACTCCATTTTATTTTTTGTTGCTGGTTGTGCTCCAATGTCTAGATTTAATCATTAAATACATTTTCTTTTCTTTTGTTTAAAGGTTAGATGTTTTCGTTGTGCTCAAAACTGGTCACTCCTGAAGCTTCAATGGTGAACTTTTGCTTTTAAATCTCATTACTCTTTGTTGATTTAAAAACTTACGCATGACCCGAGTGCCCAAGACTGAGTGACCGTGATTTCCACTGGTCAGGAAGAAAACTTTGAAGAAATAGGCACATGGTCCCCTCTATTTTGCACTTGGAAAGCCATGAAGTGATTTTTTTCCCCCATCTCTTTGCTGTAATTGTATTTCAGTTATCATGGATATTCAATACTACGAACACTCTTAGTCACTAATTACTTGAAAAAGTGTCTTTCAAAGAGAGTACATTCACCACCTTCAAATGATTTCAATTTGTTCTTTATTTCTTGTCTTATATAAGTAAATCCTAAAAGACAAACTATATCCTTTTAACTTTTTCCAAGAATAAGATCAAATTTCTTAAATTGAAAAAATCTATCTTGCATGCATGTTACCTCTAAATATAAGAGTCAAATTGTTATGCTTTCCTTGTTAAAACCTATGTTTTAAAAACTGGACCAGTCGGTTGGACCGGTTGAACCATCGACTGGTCCTTTATTCGGTCTAAGACATAATTAGAACCGTTTATAACATTTGGCTCGGATTAGACCGGATTTGAATCGACGGAACAGTGCTGAACTGTCGGTTCAACCAATCCAGTAGAAAAACCGGGTCACTAAGAAAAAACCCACCTTCATCTTCATCTTCACTCTTAACTCTTTCCAATTCTCAGAACTTATCAATTTGAGTCTTCCCCATGAAATTTTTCGCTATATTTGTAAAATGGCCTCCAACTTTCCTCCTCACCTTTTTATCCACACGTCTCCCTTAGCTTCTTTCTCCCATGGATTCTATTTTCATTTCTTTCTCACTTCCCTCTCCATTCGCTGCTTTCAGTCTTCCTCGTGAGAACTAATTGCTGTTTTTTTGTTTTTATTGATTGATAAAAGAGAAGCCATCAAATCTGTAAAATGAATCTCAACTTTTCCCTTACCTTTTTATCCACGCGCCTCCATTGGCTTCCTTCTCCCATGGATTTTACTTTTATTTCTTCCTCACTTCCCTCTTCATTCTTCAGTCTTCCTCATGAAAATTAATTGACAATTGTTGCTTTTTTTATTTTTACTTATTGATAAAAGGGAAAAGCTTGGATATTTGAAAATTAATTGACAATTGTTGCTTTTTTTATTTTTACCTATTGATAAAAGGGAAAAGTTTGGATATTTGAAATTAAAATGTATTGAAATATGAAAAGAAAGAAATTAATTAATGAGAAAGTAGAAGAAGGAGTGGTGGAGAAAAGGAGAGAGAAAAAGAGGGGCTTTTTGCTGATGAAAGGGGTGGCTAGAGAATGAAGATTTGAAATTGAAAAGTGTTGGACTGTGAATTTGAGAATATGTAATTGAAAATAAATTAATTAAAAGAGAGGAATGGTGAAGAATGAGTGAGAAGGAGAAAGTGAAGAAGATTGAGGTTTTATGTATTCAACCTTTATTTTTTTTAATGATGTCAACGGTCAAATTGACCGGTTAACTGGTTGGACCAGTCAAACTGGGAATCAAACTTTTAACCGAGTTAAGGTTTGCTTCGGTTTGTAAAACACTAGTTAGAATAACAAATGTTCAATCCCGTTATGCAAAAAAGGTAGATTCGGGGCAGCCAGAACCAGCCAAGAAGTAGATGAAGCTGAGGAGCATCTCCTTTCAATGTTACTGTTAAGAGTGTTTAGTATAGTCAAGTACTCCGGGGGTGTGTGTGTGTGTGTGTGTGTGTGTGTGTGTGTGTGTGTGGGTGTGGTGTTTGTGTGGGGGGGGGGGGGGAATGTGATTTCACTGATTTGTGTCTGCAACTTATCTGTCCAAATGCGTTATTTTCGCGGCGTAGTTTAAAGTACATTAATAAAAATGAATATTGAGAAGAAAACCAAATCGCATAATAATAATTATGTTAAAACAGAATAAAAAAAACTGATTTGGGCAGCTTGTATTTTTATTCTGATTTGGGCAGCTTGTAGTGCACGTGACCAGACAGAACCCGTTTGTTTCATTATTATATTTAACTTTTGTACTCTGATTTTTTAAATAAGCATCTGCCTACTTATTCAGGAAATCAGATTTTAGAAATTTGATTCCTGACTTCTGATTATGCAGGCGGCGGTGCAGACTTTTTTTATTTTTTTCCTTTTTCTTCTTTTTCTTTCTCCTTCTGCTTCAGTTTTCTTCCACGGGTCCACCTTCATATATCACTACCATCTTCTTCTTCAAAGATCACAGCCACCTTTTTTTTTTTTTTTTCCTTCGTTCTTCTTTTTTCTCCTTCTTCAGTTTGGCTTCCACCTTCTTCTTCAAAGATCGGAAACCTGTGACGGCAGTTTACTTTTTCTTTTTTTCTCCTTTCCTATTTTTTTTCCTTCTTCTTCAGCTTATCTACGACTTCCACATTATTCTTCAAAGATCAGAACCGCCGCTACCCTCTTCCACATTTATTCTTCAAAAATTACAAACGCACCGCCATCCTCTTCCACGTTACAACCACCATAACACTCTCTTCCACCTGCATTCAAAAACACCACGCAAAAACACCTTCTTTCGGTTGCCTCCGACAAACCGAGGCCAGCAGGTACGACCACGATCACCGGCCACCATTTTCGAGTTATTCGGACCACCTTGGGCCACCCTGCTCCAACCCCAGGCCACCAGTTTCGAGCGCGACCACCGGCGCCCAGAACTGAAGATCTGCCACCATCTCGGTTTCCTCATCCAACCCGAGCCCAGCATCCTTTTTAACCACCGTCGGCCACCCTCCAAACCGAGGCCACCATCTTCCGATTGCCACCATCGGTGCACATTTCCCAGTGAAGTTCACCCACCGTCGGCCACTCACCTCCAACCAAGAGCCACCAAAGTTCCAACCGGTTTGGGTTTTTCAAAAGGTAAAAAAAATAAAAAGGGTAGATGAGGGGGGAAACGAAAATGATATGAAATATGCGAACTAAATGTACATGTGAAAGGGGTAATTTGCATTAAAAAAAAAAAAAAAATATTTGGAATAAGTTAAAATGCCTTTTAAATAGGTAAAGAAATGTGAAAGGGGCAATTTCGTCAATCAAAATTTGCAAAATTGGGTTTGATTATTTTATTATCAAGTTCCGGAAATTTGTAGTTGGGACGTCTATTTTTTATTTTAAATTGTAACATATTATGTTAATTTAATTCGTTCATTTTTTTTGTAACATTTGGAAATATTTTCAAAATGGTGCGTTTTGAGATTGTTAAATCATACCGTTATGTAATTAACTGTTACTAATATAAAATATCCATCTGTTTTGTAGGTTTAGAGTTGCTGTATGAAGAGGTGTTTGTAATAAAAGTGCCATGTCATAGGATTCAGTACTACTATAAGCAAAGGAGGTAGGTTCAACGTTTTTATAGACTTCGAGTCTGCTGTAGACATCTTTTGTTGTATTGACGCCTTTTAGTAGTGTCGGATCAAACAAGGTAACAGTTTCTCTACATTTAGTTTATGAGGGTCTAATTTGCGTAAGTGAGTGTTGATGTGTTTGCTTTATTATTACAATGTCTCAATTTTATTTGTCGTTCCATTGTACCGTTGTTAGATGAGTAATAACGTTAGCTGGTCCAATGAGATGACCCACCGATTTTTGATTCTGTTGTCTGAGCGTGCGAAAAATGCCCATGGTATTGTATTAAAACGATGGATTATCAGAATATGTTGGCTGATTTGGAACTATTGGCTGGGAAGAAGCTCGACGTAGGACAATTAGTTTTTAAGTTCTTCTGGTTGAAAAATACCTAGAATGCTTGGTGCAAACTTATGCAACACATGGATTTCGGTTGGGATCATTAGAACCAAATGCCAACATGTTTCGTAGAGGTTTGGAGAGAATATGTAAATGTAACTTTTCATATTTTTAATTCATATTAATCTATGACATCGTACGTTTTACGCATTTTTCCTTGAGAAACACATTAGTGTATGTCTGTTTTCGTTACTAGCATAACAAACAGGCGACACAGTTCTTTTGTAAGGGACTTTCGTATAAGGAGTTATATGAGGACATTTTTGAAAAGCAAAGCGCCATTGGAAGATTCGCGTACACATCAACGTCCGAACTAATGGATTCGAACTACAATTCATCTGAACATGGACCGACTGAGAATGACGATAATGAGTTCGAACTTGATCCGAATTGAACAACAAGAGAACAACGATTAAACATCTCTAGTCATGGAAGACCTTGGGGGAGGAAGAAGACATCCGGCCAGAGAGAAGAACTTGTGGATGTGAATTTAGAGGTGGAACAAATGGGTTGGGTTAGGCGGGTCAACCCTAACTCGACCCGCATTAAGACAGGTTCAATCCGGATTGCCTAAAAGGTAGGCCAGGTTGAACTCGGCTCGCATATACTTCGCTGGGCAGGCCGGGTTTTAATATGTCAACACGGCAGGTTAAATTTTTTATTTAAAAAAAAAAAAAACCCTCCAACTCGCTGGGTTAAGAGTTTTCAATCCCACGGGTTGGCTGTTGCAAGCCAACGGTTAACCTGTTGGGTTGACTTGCCGGATGGCAACCGCCAACCCAGCGGGTTGGACCAAAAAAATTAAGTAATAATTTTTTTTTCAAATACCTCTTTTACCTTTGAAATATAACCGTTTCATAGCAGTTGAAAGAGTCTTTTTCGTCATTTTTTTTCTATAAATAGGGTCTAAACTCTCATATTTTCTCACATTCCAAATTCTCTCAGTCTCTCATTTTCTCTAACTTCTATTGAAATCTCTCAATTATTATATTTGTTGTTAATTTGCTCTCATTTTAATTTTTGTTAGTTTTTGTAATTTTTAATTAATATTTCCAAATTCTAATTCTCCTTTTTTAATTTTTCATTTCTTCTATATCAATTTCTTTTTTTTAACTACAATAGATATATATTTTCATCTAATTGATTTTGATGATGAAAGAAACTATCATAGTTCTCATGAATTTACTAACATAAATGCAATAGATTCAAATAGTCTCACTTTCACAGTCTTAG